GCTGGACCTTCTGGGCCCTACAGGTCATCTTGGAGTGGTTAGAAGCTCCTCAGTGCCACCTTTTTTTCAATGGGAGAAAGACAAGGCTTTCGACTCCTGTAAAGAGTTACAGTCTTGGAAACCCACAGAGGTAGTTCTGTTCTGCCCTTATAAGGTCACTACGAATCAGAAGCATCTCGATGGCAGGGTTGGGAGTGTTCTGGGGAAACCCTGGGGTATCGTGGTCAAGAGTCAGATTTGGAGTCAGACTTAATTGTGCTCCACACTCAGCCCCGGCACTTCATCACCTCCTGGTCCTCTTTCTCCCCTGGAGAATGGGGGTAAGACAGTGCCCCCATTACAAGGCTGGCTGCGGGAGGCTATGCGTGCAAGGTGTTCAGAATGTGCCCAGCCTACAGCAGGCAATCAGTAGCCGCTAGCTGCTCTTGGTGGGTGCCTGTGCACAGGGAAGAGGCATGCGGACTGCAATAAAAACCTTGCTCTGAGTGTCGGGTGGAGCTCAGGGTAGATTCGGGATGTAGGGAGCTTTGCCACCTGGCTAGAGAAGCGAATCCAGTTTCCCATCCATGCATGTGGTCTCAAGAGAGAGGGCTGGCCCCCATTTGGAACAGTGTAGCTTGGGCCTTCGCTGGGCAAGCTCAGTTCCAAGCCGCTCCAACCAGCCCCAGGAGGACTGGGGTGGGGTTGGAGGGAAAGGAGCTAATTCCCATTCTGGGAAATCGCTTCCAGCCCCTGGAGGTCTCTACTGAAGACGTGAGCTCACTGTCTTCCACTCAGCTGCTGACTTTGCTTTGTGAGCCCCAGCGGGTCACCTGCAGTTCAGGCCCAGGCCACACAAGGGTGCCAGGCGGACCCCGTGTTGGAAATACGTGGCAGCATTTGGGACGAGAACTGGGACAGGGCTAGATGTGCTCTCCCTGTCTCTTGGCTCTGGCTCCTCACCATTTACTAAGGCCACTTCCACCATAGGTGGGGGACCAGCAGGGCCCTTGAGCTGGACACAGGTGAGACTGAGGACAGGAAGGGTCATCTCTGATTAGATGGATTAAAGTTAAGAGATTAGGGAAGAGGAGCCCCCAGATAGTGTTCCAGAGGGGACTGGTATCCCTCGGGCTTTCTCCCTCCTGGACTAGAGCACTTAGAGGAAGGCATGGTGTATAACACCAGAACAAAACCCAGATGTCTTAGAGTTGTCAGTATGATTGTGTTTCATGGGGTGGTCAAAGGTTGTTTTTGGAAGTACAGTGAACCCTCGCCACTTCGCGCTTCGACTTCCGCGGCTTCACTCTATCACGGTTTTTGCGTAACAGCACCCACTGCCTACACCCGCTCCTTCAGAGGAAAAAGATGGCGACCCACCTGTAGAGTACATCCCTTAAGTCATTTCATAGGCTATTGATTACAGTATTTGTAAGAACTATGTATAATAATACTGTATGTGAAATATGTAATATTGTAAACTAGATGCCATAAATAATATAATAAATAATAAATGATAATTGTAACGTCTAAAATGTTTTACTGTATTTTCCCTTTTTTGTTTAATAAATTGGGTCATACGAGTGTAATGGTGACTAAAGGGTGTTTTTTCATGTCCTCTATGCTCTAACTACGAAAATATTTGATTTACAAATAAGGACTCCTACTTCGCGGAATTTCATTTATCACGGTAGGGTCTAGAACCGATTAACCGCGATAAACGAGGGTTCGCTGTAGGTCGCCAGACCTTTTTGTTGTTACTCATGGCGGGGCTCAAGCTTTCAACTAACAAAAGTGCTTTAGTGGATGCCAACACCGGACCCTGGAGGTTCAATTCCTTGCATAGTTTGGGTGAGTAGAGTGTTCTTATCTACCAAAGGGAAATTGATACCATTTGCTCTAACTTTGGTACCTGTTGAGAGGTTTGAATCCTTCTGGGCATGGAAATGGCTGGTCAAAAGGTAAAGTTGGGACAGGAACCTTCGTCCTGCTTCCTATCCCAACTGACGGGCTCCTGTCTTAGAGATCAGAATTCTGTTGAAATGATAGCGTGCACTAGGGGACAAAGTTCTTCTCCTCCAAACATCTGGCTTTGAAGTCTCCATCTGACTCACCTTCCTGTGGGTCAGGTGGGCTGCCCAAGCCAGAGCCCCGTGACCCGCCAAAGGTAAAGTCCCTGCCTTTTCCTGACTTGAGCTTTCAGCCCTCTCCCCCACTTCTGTGCAGCTACCCTGCCTCCCCATTAGTTGGCAGTGGCAGGGAAGGGACAGTTTCTTAAAACAGAGTATGCGCTTGGATGACTCCATGGGTTTTTGACTTACAAAAACCTGAGAATTGACATTCTGATTTGTCTACTCCAAGTCAACAGGATGTACCAGATTTGAAGAGATCAGATGCATTGTAACGTTGTGGTTCTAGTTGTAGATTAGATAAGCTGTTAGAGAAAGTACTGCCAAGTAAATATGGTTAAAAAAATAGGGGAATAATTTGAATATGTCTATTAAATTGTGTGGTAAGTAAAGTAGCATAAGCATAGTGCTGAATGTAACTTATTTTCTAGAGAGTCCAGCAAGTAAATAAAGTCAGAATTAGGTCCTCTTCCTTCCCTTACAGAACTTTTTTTTTAATGGAGGAAGGTGTAAACTAGGAATTTCAGAGATGGACGCTTGACTGGTTGTGGGATGAATTATAATATTGAAGGCTCCAAATGATAGTCCTCATTTCTTTGCTTTCTATTTCTTGCATTGCCACAGCAGCAGGTCAGTTTTCCCGAGATAAATACGATACCTGGCCCTTAATGGGATTTTTGTATTGCCAGGAGTTGGCGTGTTCAGATAATAAAAGAACCTAAAAATTGTACATCCTCTAATTGGTAAGAAGAGAGATGTTTTGATGGGCCACAAATGGAAACATTGATTTTTACTGCCTCCGTGCACTTCTAAGCAGCGTGTCATGCACATTCCCCGCTAAGGAGGGCAGCTGCTGGTTTTCCGATGAGCTGATTTGTGCGCCTTGGTTCTTGATGTTGGATGCTTGGAAGCGCATGTTCTGGGCGGCAGGGAGAAATAGAGCCCTTATAACAAATCTCTCTCTTTAAATTGGAATATTTATACAACTGTGGTTTCTACCTTGAATCGAATGCATTCTTAGTTTTATTTGTCTCTTTCTTGCTTTGGGGACCAATCCCGGGGGGTTTAAAGTTGTGTGTAGATACCTATTTCTTTAACTGTGATTTTATGTAACACATTTTGCGTACATAAGTATGTTTGCATAAACATCTTTGTATGTATTAGAGCTCTCTGTCTTTGATGTAAACGGTGATGCTGATTTCTGAACTGGTAGATGCATTTTACCGAGACAGACTGTAGGAAAACACATGAGCACCTTGATTGGCAGCCCCTGCATTTCTGTAATTAGTGGGCGAGTTTAGTTCACTGAGGTTCTTTAAGACGTTGGTGATTACCCTGCTTTCTCATTTCCTATTTTTCGCTCTTTGTTTTACAAGTTCTTTGTGTGTCCTGTGCGTCTCTAAGATTGAGCCTAGACTCGATTTCCCACGCATGCGTGAGAAAGGGTGCAAGGCCGGGACTCCGGAGCTGCAGAGCAGCCCTGGCAGCGTGTGGGCTCCCTGTGCTCCCTAACTGGGTGCCAGCCGCTGCATCTGGCCTCCTCCGTGGACAGGGTGCTGGACCACCTCACCCTTTGAACTCCTCTTTTGAACCCTTTCAACATTAAAATGTACAAAAGCCCATTTGTGACCTGGGGCCCTGCCCATGTGACTGTGTTTTAGAAACATGAAGAGGGCTCCATAGACACAAGGCCTCGTGACCAGTGCACACTATAGAGCAGGGTTTACAGAAGCTAATCCAACGGTCCCAGGTTGATTCTCAATTTCTAGACTGACACCAGGTTACCAGTGAGGACTTGGATACATTTTATGCTTGTGGTTTGACTACCCATGGTCCTTTGAAAGTACATGTGCTTCCTTTTTTTTTTTAATCAATTTATTGGGGCTCATACAACTCATCACAATACATAGATCAATTGTGTAAAGCAAATCTATACATTTGTTACCCTCATTATTCCCAAAATTCGCTTGCCTCTTGGGTTCCCGGAATCCG